AAAAAAAAAAAAAAAAGTAAAAAATAGTCATTCTGGGGCTTCCTTGGTGGCGCAGTGGTTGAGAGTCCGCCTGCCAATGCAGGGGACACGGGTTCGTGCCCTGGTCCGGGAAGATCCCACATGCCGTGGAGCAGCTGGGCCTGTGAGCCATGGCCGCTGAGCCCGCGCATCCGGAGCCTGTGCTCCGCAATGGGAGAGGCCACAACAGTGAGAGGCCCGCGTACCACAGAAAAAAAAAAAAGTCATTCTGTAATTACCTACAAATTGATCATTTTCTCATAATAAAAATGGCCACATTTGTATAGGAAAGATTTGGCCCCACAATATAAATCATACTTTTTCCATACATGCTCTATAAATGCATTTAATAAAGAACATAGGCAGAAAGCAATCCCCTACACTGCCCTCTTTCAATATATTATTCATTCTCTTTTAACTGTATAATTAATATGCAGCTTTCATTCTGTTTGTGAATTGCCTTACAGTACACATACTAAACATGCAAACAAGGCAAAGGTGTATCTCACATTGTATACTGGACTAATTCCTATCTGGTATATAAATAATATTTCATAAACTACATCTTGTATTCAGTGCTTAAGAGGCCAATTTAAAAAAAGACTGTCAAGGTGAATATTTTTAGGAAGCAAAGAATCTTTGATTATTACCAATAAATGCCTATAACTATCATCAGATATAGATTTGCATCTATCAGATGCTATACATTAAGAAAAACTAGTACTTTAGCCTGGGAACCTCTTGCCTGTCAAGCCCTGCTTCCAGGTTCTTTCCTTCCTTAGTAGTGTCACTACCTGGGCAGAATGAATGTCAATCAACTGTCACAAGAGTGCCATGTTTGGGAATCTATTACTTTACAACAAAAATAACTTAACGCATAGTGTAAAAAAATGGCTTTTAAAAACTGTATTTTAATAATCATATAGTTAAATGGACTATGTAGCATATTATAGGAATACCAGAGAGCATCCCTGAGTCTTTCTCAATGGCAGAAGCAGGAGTGGTGAAAACACATCTAGACCATTTGAAATGCCAGCAAAAGGAGAATATTAACTGCAATTTTTGTCCTTTCTACATACCAGTTTTAGGAGCTCAAAAATAAATAAATTTTTTTTTTTTGTTTAACTTGAATTCAGCATTCTGGTCAATGAGCGTCCCATTTAGCACAATACAACTACATCTTTCCATCCTTTAGATTCCAACACTGTCACATGAACCCCTTGCAATTTCCAAAAACAATCAATTTTCACAGCAATAACTTAGTGTTAATGTGGTGGTCTTTCAAGATCAAAATAAAATGAAATCTATCCACACAACTGCCATGACCAAAGAGTTAGAGGCAAGGAAGAACCTTTCACTGAATCCCTCAGAAATGGCTCCCATAAAAGCAAAAAGTGGCAAAGTACATATCTAGAAGGAAATATTCCCTTTTTCTTATTTAAAAATGGCCCAAATTTTATTTTTCAACTCAACTTTTTAAAAAATGAAGTAATTACTGTGTTTAAATGGATATTACAATTGTTTAAAGATTCAAATTTAAAACCAAATTAATTTTCCAATATAAACATGAAAGGTCTTACAATTTAAAAAAACAATAACCTGTTACCTTGACTCTTGATGTCAACAATTAGCAAATGGAAAAGACAAAAAAAATCTGAAAAAGATAGAGCATTTTGGCTCAAAAGTTATTTACAAAGTAATTTTACTTAAAGGAATTTTTGCCTTTAAACTTCTGACATTTTATTTTAGCCAAGAGTCTAAAATGAGAAAAAATATAAATGCAAATCAAGCACTGCTTGGTTGTGCTAAAATAATTACATGAAATATTTTGCCCTTCCCTATCCAAAATACCTTTCATTTAAATACTTACTCTGAGCCTGCAGCCATTTCCAAGTATGACGTTTCTGCTGTATCAACCCCCAATGGGATCACTATGCTCATGACGTTCGCCTCTGGTAAATTCGATTACTATGGAGTCCTATGCATTGGTATCCAAAACACTGGGGCATGCCAGCCACAGTGCTCATTGCAAACATCTAAGTGCATCCACAAACCCTATTTAAAAGAAAAGGGAACCAAAAGTTAAGAATCATCTTCATATTCCCAGCAACAGTCAACCTATAACAAAGGTAAGTAAAATACATGAAGAAAGCATTCTTTATTGAAATATCAATACCAATTGGAATTTGCTCAAGGGATCTCTATTTTATTTTTCTGGAATTAAGTTATGAGATTATGATCAAAAGAAAAGTTTCTGAATCATAATCTTCCTTAGGGAATGAATTTAGGATGCCAAAAGAAGGATTACTAAGGCATATTGCTTAGTGAGGAACCAACAAATATTATTCACTTTGAAAGATAAAACAGAATTTCTTATAGCACTATCCAAAATTAAGTCTTCTTGGTTCAGTGAATGCTTTAACAATAAACTAACAAATATTGAGACTTACTGTAGACTAAGCACCATACTAAGCTTTTACATGAACGGTCTACTTAATCCTCACAACTCTGAGATAGGGATCTCCATTTTACCACCGAGGAATTCAAAAGCAACTAAGGTTAAATAACATAACCAAAGTTGCTCAGTTTAAGAGATAAAACCAGAATTTGAACCAATTCTACTCTATTGTTTATATATATATTTTTTAAATCTATTTTATTTGTAATAAAGTCAACTGTTTTATAGTGGTTGTCATTTTCCATACAACATAAATACATGTATATGGAGGGAGTTTATTTCTCCAGTTTTCTCCCATGAGTTAATGATCCCTAGCACAATTAGAAGAGAAATATACTTGAATATTTTAAAATATTCTTGTCATATTCTTGAATACTTATTTTTAAACAAACTTACCATAGTAACAAAAACATATTCAGCTTCCATATCAATTTTTCTAATCTAAATTCACTGTTTAACACCTGCTATATGTACTACATGTGAAATATCTACTCGAAATATTTTCAGCAATGATACAGTACAACTCGGAACAAAGCAGATAGAGATAACCATATAAACAAGAGAAACAGTCAACATGGTCCCTCTCAGGTTATACCTGAAATACTGAAGAGAAGTGTTTCTTCAAATAGCAATTCTTGTATTTACTTTTAATTTTTACAAGTAAGCTTGAGAATATCTACTCAGTTTAATTCCTATTTCACAGATGATGCAGACTGCGAGCTCATATCTTATGGGAAAAAAATACCAAAATATGGAAATAACGAGGTAACAGTGGTTTGAATTCTCCAAGAAAATGAGCCTTTACTTTTAAACCATGAATAACTGGGGAAGAGCTACTAGATTTCAAGTTATAACAGAAACATACAATAACAGGCAATTGCACTTAAAAGTGAAAAACATGAGCATTGGAGCCTATCTCTAACTCTCTAACAGCAGATGTGTGAGCTAGGCAAGTTATTTAACCACTCTAAGCCTCAGGTTCCTTGTTTATAAAATGGATATATATCCGCCTACAATTTCTGTGAAGAAAATGAAATAATGACTGTAAAGCATTTCATACACTGCATTATGCATATTTAGCAGTCAATAAGTGGTAGTCACATAAGAAGAGTTGCTCTTATTTCATAATCAAAAAACTGTGTGGATAAAAAAAACTCTTTAGCTCTCATTTAAAGAGAATTTTCTAATAGTTTCTGAAAATAAAGTATGTAATTATGGTTCTCTATTTGCTACGATTTTACAGTTTTCACCAAATTAAATCATCCTCTTAAAAAAAAAATCATTCTCTAAAAACAATTAAAGCAGGGTGAGAAAAAGGAAAAACTGCCCTACCTCCTTTTCTGCACCTGCGACTGTTTTAGAATTACTAAAAAAAAGTATATTATTACTATACTTTTTTTACTAAAAAAAGCTATATTTATTAACCTGAACAAAGCTATAAAATTATGAAATTAGATTCTAAGTGACAAAATGCAAGCAACATATAAATCAAATGTTATATTATTCTGTATTTCTTTAAAATACTGAAAACTTGGACCTAAGAACAGATTAATTAAAATTAAAAAAAAAAATTCTCCTCCTGTTGGTACCATCTAGTTGGTAGTTTTCTTTAGCTCAGCTTATCTTAACATTAGACTCATAGGAAATCTTATATTTTAGGTATATGTTGTTAAATATTTAGTTGTATGTTTTTTCTTAGAACCAGAGGCAGAAACTAGAAAGCAGAAGTCAAATGATTATGTATTCTTTTAGGTAACTGAGTAATATTTCCAACCTAAAACAATTTATTTGAATACGTATTTAATAGTGTCCCCCATTTTTATATAAATATACAGTCCTCAATAAACACTATATTTGAGCTGTTTTTAAATAGCAGTGAAGAGCTTGCCATAAGCTTATTTCAGACAATGGCTTATATTTTTGTGATTACTGCCTGTCTCTCAAATCCTGCACAGTGCGTAGAACATAAAAGGCACTCTACAAAGAACTGGTGAATGAATTAGAGCACCCGAGATGAAACTGCAGTTCTGGCCTCATTAACCAAATGAGTTGTCAACCTATACAATTACACGCTATAAAAACAACCACATGACACCTTTTCCAGAAATGCATCTCTCATCTAGAAACACAGAAGCTCATCCCCAGGATAACAACTCAGCATCACATCTGTAACAGAACCACAGACTCTGAGTTTGATTCAGCAAACAAGATGATCTCACAAATTTACTCACAAGAGGTAAGAAGGCAAGAGGTCATATCTATTGAGACCATAAAGTGGCAAATATTTCACTATATTCATTAATATCAAAAACTCCATAGTGAGAAAACTCACACTGTTTAAAAATCCAGCTGATACTTAAAGCATAAATTCATTAGGGTCTTTAAAAATAAGAAAAAAAGAAAGGGAAAGACAATGTAGTAAACAGAAAAGATGTGAGCTTATAACATAGGCATAACTAGAGAAAAACAATTCAACACAATACAAACAACTACCACAAAGCTTTCATATCTTACATGTGAATAAAAAACTGGTTATACAACTGGCAAGTAAAATATATACAAAATACATTGAGAATAAATGGCAGCCATTAAAGAAATAATATAAAAGGAAATACATATATATACAAAATACACTGAGAATAAATGGCAGCCATTAAAGAAATAATATAAAAGGAAATACCATGAGATGTCTGGTAAATCTGAGGTCCAAGAAAGAATAAATGTCTTCAGAAAACCTGCTATCCAGAACAGACCTAGAAACCAAGTGAACATAGGAGTATTGAGCTGTTTATAAATGGCATAAAATTATTGGTATTGATACTTCTGTCTAACATGGAACCTAAAATCAAAGGGACTCAAAGACAGCAGCTAATTCTTAAAAAAATAAATTTATTCTTCACTATTTTATACAAATGAATGTAAACACAAGTAAAGGAAACAATGCTAAATACCAAATCAAACTGGAAAGAAACTGGGAAAAAACGATATTGAAAACAAATTTAGGGGAATTCCCTGGTGGTTCAGTGATTAGGACTCTGCACTTTCGCTGCTGAGGTGTGGGTTCAATCCCTAGTGAGGGAACTAAGATCCCATAAGCCTTGTGGCATGGCCAAAAAAACCCATAAAAAAACAAAAAATACAAAACAAACAAAAAAGAAAACAAAACAACCCCACAGATTTAGCAGAGGCATTGATACCAAAACAAAACCAAACAAAACCCTAAAGTAGGAAAAATGAGATAAAAGGCAAGAAGGAAAAGCAATTAAATTAGAAAACAGTTTATCAGAAGAACTGGAAAACTGAGGCTGCTTTTAAGACCACATTAAGAAGTTCAAAAAACAAAAAAATACCACTGAAAAGATAAATATGATACCCAAAAGGCAAAAAAGATGAAAATATGAGGAAAATTTTTTTCTAAAATTACAAATAAAGGGCCCAACCCAATTTAACATAATCTCTTTGAGGAAAGGGTCATTTATTATTACCTTTCAGTCTTTAATAAACACCTTACAAAGAGCTCAATAAATATTTAAAATTAAATCCATGTTTACATTTTGGACATATAACAAGAGAATAAGCAGGTGAATCTGGGGCTCAATTACTAATAGAAATAAAACAAAGAAACTTGAAAGAAATTGTGAGGTACCACATACCTGAGATTTTCTTATGAATCAGAAATTAAACTGCCCTCATTAATCATTTATAATTTTACTTATAGCTGTTGACTAAGGCATAACAAAAAAGGATACTAGTTAATCAAAATATATTACCAAGTTACTACCTACGAAACTTTGGTCAACTCATTTCACTATTCTGGGCTTCAACTATAAATGGAGGCAGGTTAGGCTGATGATCTTACAGTTTAAATTTTACAATCACAAGTACATTAACAGATTAGTCCTGATAATCAAAATGACAGATAAATATCAGATTCTAAAAAGAATAATAGAATGAATTATGTATTTCTCTAACTGGGTTAATGTTAGTATTAGCCAGTGCTCTATAAGCACTTACCGGATACTCAAACATCCCCAAATAGAGGTTATAATAATAATGATGATAAATACTGCTTACAATGCTTAATCCTCACAATGAGCCTATGGCATAGGTACATTTATTACCCCATTTTACAGATAAGGCAGAGAAGTTAAACTTGTCCAAAGTTCCATAGCTAATAAATAGAAGAATCAGGTTTTGAACCCTAACAGTCTGATTCCAGAACCTACACAGTAGTCTCCCTGAAATTAAAATTTGCCAGATGATTGGTAAAATAAATAAAATAAAATCCAGAATTTACAGTTAAGGGGGAAAAACTGACAACTGCCTCTCTCAAAAAGAGGAGAAATTAAATAACTACATAACTGGTTCACATACGGACTGCATTCGTTCTGGCACACTAAATGAAACAACAGTAACAAAACCTACTTTGCTCCTCCCCGAAACCTAATCTACTTAATAAACCTACATGCATTCCACAGCAGTGCATTAAAACACTACAAAGTAAGTAAAGATGCATGGGCTCAAAGTCTAAAATTAGCATTTAAAATATTTCAGGGACAGTGCAAAGCACATACTCAAAGGATAAAAATATTTAAAT